CAGCGCGGGCACACGTACGCCTTAGCCTGGGCCCCACGCGCCCCGGTGCCGCGCTCCTCCTCGTCACCAGAGCCAGACAGCACAATCTCGATGGTCACCTCCTCTTCCAGGCCGTCCTCCAAGGGTGCGGGGCTGGGCGTGGCTGTGGAGACCAGGTGCGGTGCATCAGGGGCACCCACGATGTCTGCAGCCCGGCCTCCCTCTCCAAGGAAAAAGCAAGGGAGAAGGGACCCCAGCATTGAGGGCCTGTAGGAGGGCTTAAGACCCACAGGCCAATCTCCCCCACCCCCCACCCCAAGGTATCCAGGAGGAGCGAGACAGGCTCTATGGTGTCACCCAGTATTCCCCCAAGTGTCACAAGGGGAGATGCCAGGTGTCCCGGACCTAACGTTGCTCAAGCATTTCGGACACCACCGCCTCTGCCCTCCCTGTCCTCACCACCAGACTCAGAGCTCCGGTTCTGGCTGCTGCACCATCCTGGGCACAGCAGGAAGTGGGCAGTTCAGTGGCTCGGGCTGGGGTGCTCAGAGAAGCCTGGGGTCTCAGGGCCTGGACTTGGCAAGGCAGAGGAGCACCACGGGCCACTGTCCTCTGCTGCAGCTGCAGGCCTGCGCCCCAGTCTCCTGGGCTAGGAGCAGGTGACTCCCACAGGCAGAGTCCTCAGCTGCTGGTGACTGGTGAGCAGTACCTGCTGGCTTTAGGTGTGGGTGCTCGTCGGCCCAGTGGGCATTGCAGGCCAAGGCTGACCCAGAGTTTCAGAGCAGGACCACAAGGTATCTGAAGGGTCTGTGAAGGGTCACACGGTATCACTGTGTCCTCCTAAGGACAGGGTGGACTGCGGGGGACACAGCACAAAGTGGCCTTCTGCAGCCATCAGGACAGGTGTGAAGAAACTGCCTGAGGACGCCTCCATCTTGGACGAATGGCCTCCAGCACTGAGGACCCTTGTCTGGTCCCAGTGACCCAGCCCATGACAATCCACTGGTGGGGACTCTTCCTCCATGGGCCTGGAAGTGGAGCTCAGCTGAATGGACATGCAAGTGGTGACCGGAGCTGGCTACGGACCCAGCTGGAGGGGTCAGGGTAAGGTGGCCTCTGGCGAGGTCTCTAGGGCACAGAGCAGCTCACTGCTGTTCTGAGGGGCAGGGTCCGGGATAAGTCAGACCCTGGATGACCAGGGCCTGCTGGGGCTAGTGACTCCTATGCTGTGTGGTAAGGGTGCTGCCTGGCTCCTTCCTGCTGCTCATAGTGAGCTTGGGGGCAGACAAGCCGAGGGTGCAGCTGTCAGGTAAGGAACAGCACAAGAGATCCCAGCGCTGTCTGTCTTTCGCTGCTGTAAGGAAAGCCCTGGGAAGCAGGCTCCAGCTGAAGGAAGGTTGGTTCCATTGGCAGGAGTATCACCTGGCAAGTGGCAGTGGCAGGAGAGGAGAGATCACATTGCCAGACAGGGAGTGGACGGCAGCCTCTGTCCCCCATCGACCCGAGTCCGCCCTTAGCACCAGCTCTGTGGCGACACAGCCCTGTCCACATGAAGGAAAGCACTGCTGTGCAGCACCCTTGGCCCTGGACGGAGTCCCGACCACACAGCAGACCTAGCCTCATCAGTGACGGGATTCGCCCTGTGGGGCTCTGCACGTGTGCTGGCCACTGGCCTCTCCTCCCCTCATGGCTCCTTGGGAAGAAGAAACAAACTAACAGCTCTCATGCGGTGAGGCATGGCGTCTGGCCTGGCCACTGCCACTCTGGGCTGGGCTCTGGCTCTGGCTCTCTGGACCTGCAGTGTCCCAGAGAGTGCCACCCGACACGGGCACAAGGTGGGACCCTGCAATGGCAGCACCCGCTGGGCCCTTCTGGTTGCTCCCTGCACTGCCCGCCCGGGCCTTTGGGTGACTGCCTGCCTTGAGCCAGAACCGTAAGCCAAACCAGCCTCTCACGCAGCACCCAGCACACAGTGTGGGTGACCAGAAATAGAGCTAACAAGTGCAGGTACCTCACAGAGGAAATACGAGACAGTGCCCCTTGGTCAGGCCCGGCAGGCAGGTGGCACAGGGCACCAGGGGCAGTGGGAGGCACGGGGGGGCATGTGTGGGCAGCCCCGCCCTCAGTCCACTGCTGCCCTCACGTCACTGACAGCGGGGAGCAGAGCCTCCTGCCCAGGTGGGGAGAACTGAGACCAGGGCCACTGGACACTGCCGGTGGTGCGCCGGGACTGTGGGCTGTGTGTGCAAGGAGCGGCGGGACCCAGAGGACCCTGTCTACCCTGCACAGGGCCCGCTCGCCTGCCGGAGAGTGTCAAGGCCTCCCGGCCAAGGGGACACTTGTGAGCTGTAGGCTCTGGGAGGCTGGGTTTGGTATAGAGCATCTGAGCCCAGTGGTAGTTTGTTTATTTTTGGTACTGGGGATCAAACTCCGGACCTTGTGCTTGTGAGGCAGGTGGCGGAACCACTGAGCTAAATCTCCAGCCCATGAGCCCAGGGGTACGAAAGTCTGTGAAGCCTTGGTCTGCCTTAGAGGGGAGGGTGACTTTTATCATGGTGACCGAGGCCACACCGTGGTGGCTGGGCCTGCACTTACCACACAGCGGCAGGGCTGCCACAGCTTTTGTCGTCAGCCTGCTAGGTCAGGTAGGAAGGGGACAGCATGGGGTGGAGACTGTGCTTGGCCCCAGGGACACACGCACACTGCACTTGGGCACACACATGAGTGTGCAGCATGCCCGTCCATGTCAACACACACGATGCCTTGCATCCTTGCACGCCGGGCTGGGCACCCTCACCTGGGCAGGTGCTCTGAGCAAGCACGGGTGCCTGGCAGGCCTGGAACTCGGGTACCTGCAGCTCCTCCCACCTGCTCCTCTCCTCCACTGGGAATGGCTGGAGTCCAGGGAAGTCTTGGCAAGAAGATGTGGACAGCATCATCACATATGGGGCCACCCCCAGGACTGTGCACAGGACCACACAGCCGGAAGAGAACCCAACCCCGGGCTGGTCCAGGGTCAGAAGCCTTGGCCACGGGACAGGGAGAGGCCTGCAGTTTCAGTACTGCCAGGGGGAGCAAGCTGCCCTTAGTGAGCCAAGAGGTCTGGGACGCACATGGGCAGGGCGGCCTCTCCCCTTAGGGGTCCCCACTCACCGGAGGAGTAGGGAGCCTGGGGCGCCTCCCTGCCCTGCAGCTCTGGCAGCTCTGGGACCCGGGGCTCGCTGTCCTCTGATGGTGAGAGGGCCGGCTGGGCCTCAGGATCGTCTGCAGAGAAGGGTGGACACACCCAGTCAGCCAGGGCTCCACAGACAGGGACAGCAAGCACAGGACAGGATCACTGTCCCCCAGCCTTGAGGCAAGAGGTGGCTGCAGGGATGTTGTGATGCTGGGGCCACGCAGTGTGGGAGGCACCAGGCCAGCAGGAAGGGGCAGGAGAGGGCCATGGCTGGAGGGCAGGCCTGGGGCATCAAGAGAACATGGAGACATGATGGCATGGCACGGGGTTGGGGACCGCACACGCTGACCTCGGGGCAGACAGCAGGCCGGGAAGCTCAGACCCTGCTGCCTGGGCCGGCGGGCAGTAGCAGAGCCTCACCCGGGGACACGGAGACCCCACAGTCCTCGCCGATGATGAACTCTCCATAGAAGCCCGTCTGCGCAGGGTCGAGGAGGGACCAGTCCTCCTCAGAGAAGCACAGGATCATGTCCTTAAACGGGGATGCGCGAGTCTGCAAGCACAGGACACGGGGTGCTTGGCCGGCTGGGGCTGCGGCCTCGAATATGTGAGGACACCAGGGACCAGTGTGCCTCTGGGTACAAGGCTGTGCCCTGCCTAGGTGTCCACGTCACCCCACCACAGCCACTGCAGCCCTGGGGTCATTAGGACTCAGTTGGCGTGGTTGTCCCGTTGCGTGCCCAAGAGCCTGACCTCTGTCCTCCCAGCTTTATTGCCCTTGTGAGCTTGGATTCCCACTGGACCCACACCAGGTGTCCAGAGCTTACTGCTGAGTGCGAGCCACCTGTGAGCAAGGCTGGTGACGCCTTCCACCTCCTCCCAGCTCTGCAGAACAGGACTTTTTCCGGTGCTCTTGTGGTGGTGGCGGCCCCCACTTTTCCTCCTGCCCCTGGGCTTGACACTGCAGGACGCAGCAGACTAGAGGCATTGATGGGCACCCAGGAGATGCAGAGCTAGGGAGGCCCAAAGCGGCAGCTCCGATGGGCACTACTGGGGGCTGCCAGCAGAACACATGGTGACTGCTGTGCCCAGCCAGCAGACGTGTGGACTGCTACCCTGGCCCCACCACCCTGCTACACCAGGCCCCACGCAGAGAGCTCAAGGCCGACACAGCCCATGGGGCTGGCTGCTCCCTTGGAACACTGTGAGACGGGTGCCCTTCCCATTAGGCAGGACAAACCAAGACAGCTGACCAAGTTTAGATGCCACCCATGGTCTGCTGAGCTAAAAACAGCACTGCATCAAAAATCAGAAAAAAAAAAAGAATCAGAACAGATCTCAGACCAAGAGACAGACAGTAAGGCCTTGTGGTGCCAGGGGCTGGGTATGGATGCGGAGGGACAGTAGAAGGTGAGCGCGGACAACTGGGGCACAGGTGACAGTTACAGAGGCACTTGACCAGCCCAGATGGAAACAGAGTCCAACTAGACCCCCGGAGTACACTGCCGAGAAATACAGCACAGCCTGAGCCTCCGCAAAACTGGAAAAGAGATGCAAAGCCAGAGTTTCACAAAGCTGGGCAGTCTCCCCACAGGCTAATTTGCAAGGACCTAGCAGATTCACCTCCTGAAACTGCAAGCAAAGAAGGAAAGTGTCTGAAAAGCAGCTACAGGAAAACCACCCCTTCCCTAAGGAGGGCAAAGTGAAAGGACGGCAGAGCTCTCACCAGAGGCCATGGAGGCCAGACAGATGGGGCACCAGAGCCGGACGGCGTGCAGCATGCCAGTGACCCCAGTACTGTACTTGGAAGGCTGAAGCAGGAGGACTGATGCAAGTTTGAGGCCAGCCTGGACTACACAGCAATACCCGGTCTCCAAAGAAAAAAAAAGGAATTAAATGGTACGAGAGCGTATTTCTCGGGTGCAGAGAATTGTCAGCTTGGATCCTGTGTCTGCTGCAATCTGTCCTTCAGGAAGGGAGGGGAAAGTCACACATTCTCAGATGAGGAGAAGCAAACCCGTCTGTGCCTAGCACAGAGAACAACTAAGAAAATGGCTGGAGCCGTAACAGGATAATACTAACTCTGGCTGCTCAGAAAGCTGAGGCAGGAGGTCACAAGTTTGAGGCCAGCCTAGCAGCTCAGTGACACCTTGTGTCAAAATTAAAAGAAAAAAGAAAAAGGGCTATGGAGAATACTTGCACTGGGTTCAATCCCCACCATCACAAACAAACAAAATACACCTCCACCAACAACCTAACTTCACAATGTGAGCACATGCTGTCAGAAAACCTCACTTCAAACGTAATGATGCAGCAGTAGGCCGAACGAGAAGTTATATTAGTATCGGACAGGCCAGCTTGAGGGCCAATACCTCACCAGAGACGGAGGCTCTTGTTTTCATGAAGGAGTCTGTCCAAGAGGGCATGGTGTCTGGAATGTTATGCACCCGACAGGCTGCATGCCATGTGGCAAAATAAGACTGAAAAGAAAAAGACGCAGCAACTCCTGAACCTGGGACTCCATGCTCCCAAAAATGGGAAAACATCAAGTAGACAGAAAGCAAGCCAGGATGGGGAACTGGACAGCAGCACAGGGCCCAGCCCCTCAGCTTACAGGCCGACAGCAGACAGGGCTTTCACCAGGCAGACACTCGGCTCGTCACAGCCCCAAAGAAGGAGCCGGACCTCAGACTGCGAAATACGACTGAAGCAAGGTACGGATAACAGAAAGGTAATGAAAGCCACCACTTCCTTGGAAATTCAGCAATACGGTTCTACATCATCCCTCAATCAAAGAGGAAGACTGACGGGAAATTACAAAATGACAAAATGAATGAAAATAAAAACACACAGCTAAAGCAGTCGTGAGAGGGAAATCTGCAGCCCTAAAATACTTCAGGGAAGGGGAAGTCTCAAATCAATACACTCCCAACTCAAAAATTTACAAAAAGAAGAGTACAGTAAATCCAAAGTATGCAGAATGAAGACAATAGAGAAAGAGCGGACATCAATGAAAGTGCAATAAAAAACAGCCTGTAGCAAGACTGACAAAGAATTAAAGCGAGAAAGCACAAATTTCCAATATTGGCAATAAGTCATAAGTAAGCCGATAGACCTGCAGATGCAAAAAGCATCCCTACAAATAACTACACACACATTTAACAGCTTACAAAAAAAGAATCAATTCTTTGTAAAACCCTATTCCCTGGGAAATAGCAAGTTAGCCTCAATACTGTTGAGAAAATTTGATATATCATTAAAAACCTCTTGGCCCACCAAATGTACACATTCACAGGTTGAGCTGGCAATAATTCTGCACAACTTCTTTCAGCAAGAGGACACCTCCCAGCTGCTTTATGAAGTCAGTGTTTCTGGGAAACCCAAAGCAGACAGAGACAGTAAAGGTAAGAAAAGCACTGAACAACAACCTGTGAATACAGACACAAAAACCCTGAACAAAATAACATTAAGCGGAACTCAGCAACACATAAATAAGACTTTATACCACGTCAGGAAAGGACATCAGGCGGGTTCAGAGTCTAACTCCAATCAATATCCAATGCCATCTGCTGTACCTCACAGGCTGAGGAAGAGTCACAACATCCTATTGACTCATGCAGAAAAACTTTACAAAAGTCAGCACTCGTGCAAATGAAGAGAACTGAGGAGACACACGTAGGACTCGGTAGTGAGACGTGAGTGCTTCCCCACAGATGAAGGGCAAGGCGGTGACTGCCACTGCTGTGCTGCCAGTCTATGGAGGAAGGGCCCCACATTTGGCCAAGAAGCGAGACAGAGAAGAGGGAAGGAAGGCACCTGCTGAGGAAACAAGAAGCCGTCATTTACAGAGAACACGCCTCGTTCAAAAGCAAAGCAAACCAGAGAAACTCAGGGGACCCTGTTTGGTTTTTAATCCTCTTTGAATTTACAAGTGACTTCAGCAAGAAAGCAATAGAAAACAAACAAAATCTAGCTGGATGTGGGAGTGCACGCTTGTAATCCCAGACTCTGGAGGCTGACGCAGGAGGATCACCCTGAGTTTGCGGCCAGCCTGGGCTCCATGGTGAGTCTGAGGCCAGCCTGAACTACACAGTGAGACCCTGTCTCATAAAACCAACCAACCAAGCAGACAAACAAAAACCCAACTGCACTTTTACATATCAGAAACAAGTATATTTACGTAAAAATTAAAAATAAGGCTGGGTGGTAGTTCTGTGCTAGAGAGCCACTAGCCTAGCACAAGCAAGGCCCAGGTCTGACTCCCAGAACCCCAAAATAAGAAAATCAATAAATACATAAAGCAAGCAAGCAAGCTGAAGTAATTTTGAAGACAATAAAATGGTAGGAATTGGTCTGCTTAATTTCCTTTCTTGACACTGGCTACATCCCCAGCCTTAAAAAAAAAAACCCTGAGACAGGGTCTCAATAAGTCACTAAGATAACTACGTGGGGCACCAAATTGTGATCCTCCTGCCTCAGCCTCCCAGAGTGTGGGACTACAGATGTTTACCACGCCAGCGTTAAGACAAACTTTATAACCACATATTTTACTACTGAGTATAAGAAGTCTAAGGAATAGCTGCCTTATTTCTTTCAATTGCATGTTTATCTAGTTAGCTAAGAATAAGGTTTACTTAAGGGAAAATAGGCCCAGGGGTGTACAGAGAACGGGCTTCATGTTGTGTGCAGGTCCTGGCTTGAGTGGTCTGCTCCAGCACAGACACCCTGTGGGCAGCACAAGGGCAGGGGAGAGGGCGCCGGCCAGTGTGAGGAAGCTCCCTCCAGCAGAGGAGGTGAGACACCTGCAGCACAATACCAAAGCACTTGATGTTATGGAACCATATACTTAAAAGTGGGTAAAATGGGCAATTTTATGATGTATTTTACCAGTCACAAATAATAACTTTTTGAAATGCTGCCCAGCTGGTCTCGATCTGGTAGGCTCAGCTCATGGTCCGCTGGGCAGCTGGGTCCAGGCGCATCCCACTGGTCATGCATGGTGAACAGGCAGCAGCCCACCAACTGCATGGGTGGGAGTCAGAGCCCAGGCAGGCAGGCCACTGTGCTGTTGAGGCCTGGCCGCCCTAACCCACTCTGCTCCACCCGAAACCTGAGCCTTTCTGGCACCCACAGGATCCACACTGACCAGTTTTCTGGCCATCCCTTCAAGTGCCCATGAAGTCACCTCCAGGCTCAGCATCCAGGTGTGGCGCTACTTGGATTTCCCATGGACATCTTGGTGTGCAAACTCCCCCTTTCAGAAACCCCAAACCCTAAACAGCTCTGGTACCTGCGTGTGGCTTCCTGTGCTGCTGCCTGCCAGCTGGGCCGCCACCTACAGGGACCCTGATAACAGGGCAGCATGCACCTATGACAGCTGAGCATCACCCAGCCGTCAGAGCTTGGAGATCTTAGGGGCGCAGCAGATGACAGCCCTCCCCGCCGCCTGCAGCAGGGCATGTGGACACTGGGCCCACACAGGCCACACGCAGGGATACAGTTGGAGACTACCACACCCTTGCGTGCCATGTCCTTCCCTTGTTTCCTAACAAGGTTACACGCTACGGACGAACAGCTGTAAAACCAGCACATGGCTTCCCTGGAGCCCCAGAAGGTGCCCAACCCTCCACGGGCTTCCGCAGACACTCACCGGGGGCAGCGGGAAGGTGGCCACCTGCTGCGCATCCCCCACACTGTCCTCCTCCAGAAGGCACGCATCCTGCGGAGCTGCAAGAGATGCACGGGCACCTGAGCCTCATGCAGCTTGCCAGACTTGGCTGCCATGGGCCAGCCCCGTCCCCACATGCTGCATCAACCTCAGTCCCACCTGTGTGCATGCATGCACTCGAACACACACACGCACACACACACACACACAGGCTCTGCCCAGCAAGTGGGCATCAGTGAGGGCAGCAGGTGGGGCGATCCCTTGAGCTCACAGCTTTGAGAGCACCTGTGTAGGTGTCAGACCCCTGCCAAAAAGGAAAAAAAAGCCGGGCATGGTGCTGTGCACCTGAAATCCCAGCACTCAGGAGGCTGAGGCAAAAGGATCACCAGGAGTTGAAGGCCAGCCTCAACTACATAGTGAGACCCTGTCTCAAACAACAAGAAACAACAACAAAAAAGAAAAGTAAAAAAGTATTGTTGCTGATGGTGGGAGTCAATGTGGGGTTGGTGTTAAAATATTTTCAAATAGAGACTTATGTGGAAGCTTAGATACTGCAGGTTCCGTGAGGAAGACCGTTATCCAGGGGTAGGCGAGGACAGGAGAGGAGCCAGACCCGAAGTGGGGACAGAAACTGCTCCGCATGCTGGGAACAGTGTAGAGGTTCCTCAACACCCAACGGCGAGGGCCAGCAGAGCCTCTCATGGTCTCTACACGACGCAGGCCGCTCACATGGACTATTCATTCACACACAACAGCCGGCCTACGTGTGCCTCCGCGGATGCAGGAAAAGAACGTGGTGTGCAGTACTCAGCCTGCAGCAAGACAGGTCCTGCTATTCTGGAGGACACTGCAAAGGCTCGGAGAGACAAACACTCCAGGCCCTTGCTCGTGAGTGGGAACTATGTGAAGAGTCCAGTAAGGAGCAGAAAGTGGCAAGACAGCTGCCAGAGGCCAGGGAGGGGACGGCTTCGGTCAGGCAGAAGGACAGACTGAGATCTTCATGGCACGTGACTGATCAACACCACAAATGCCAAGAGCAGGCTCTTTGCCACAGGGCGAGGCAATGCATGAAGAATGCACATGAACTGGACTCAGTTTCTTGGCAAAGCATCAAACCACACTGTACATCATATAGATACGCACTTTCACAGTGTCAACGTAAAAGTGTAGCTAGGGGCTGGGAGTGTGGCTCAGTGGCACAGCGCCCACCTAGCCAGCATGCACGAGGCCCCAGTCCAATCCCCAGCACGCGCAAAGACACTTAAACATCGTATGTCCGCATACCAGGCACACAACTGAGTGTGAGTGTGTGCGGTGTGCAGAGTGCACGAGGTGACCGAGTCCAGCGCGTTGGCACAGGGTCACTGCCACCACGGGTCCACTCTGCAGGGTTAAATGCGTGGAAGCGCTTGCCGCCTAGCGGAAGCTGAGCCGCCCCATGAGTGAGTGCTGGGGCCGAGGGTCACGGTGCAGCTTTGGAGGGATCTTCAGGGTGGGAACTCTGCATCTGACTGCAGGCGGCTCGTCCATAACAAACCTGTCCCCCATGCGTGGACGACCCTGTTCAAACAAACTGGACAGCTGACCTGAGCCTTCAGCGCTAGGCCTCGGGGTCCCCTGCAGTCCTCTTCCACCTGCAGCAGGACCTCTCCTGGCACCCGCTTCCCACGCAACCCAGGCCCACTGCACTGTCTGCGTGGAAGAGTGGCTGTGTCCCTTACGCCCATCACCACGGAATGCAACCCGCGTGCCCAAGTCTTGACACAGGAGCTGCTGCACTTGAGGTCTTTCCACACGTGGTATAGCCGAGGTCTTTACGTGGCCTTGTGCAGCTGCCTGCCCTGGACACAGCTTGACAAGCACACGGGGTGCAGAAGCGCCAAGGCCAAGATGGGGAGGTGGTGCTTGCCTATACTTTGAGCACCGTGAGGAAGAGGTAGGAGGATAGCAAGTTCGAGTCCAGTCTGGGCAACAGAGCAAGACACTAACTACCTCAGAAGGAGATAAAGGGCCCAAGTGGGGTTGCTACTGTCTTCACTGGAGGTACAGCTCAGTCAGGAGGTCCTGGGTTCAATGCCCAGCACCACAAAATAAACACATAAAAAGAATGCGTCCAGGCTGGCTGAGCTTGCTGTGAGCCTTTAGACTCCATAACTTGGAGAACAAACTGCCATGCATAAGCCACTGGTCTGTGTTCCATTGAACCCTGTCCTGACTTTACCCAGCAGGGCATGCGGTACTTGATGTGTGTGGAAGGCAGCTTAGCTCTCCCCACAGGGAGACTGGCCGGCCTTCCACTTTGCGGAGCTTATGAATACTGTGCTAAGATGCCCGCAAACCTGCAAACCGCCAGATGCGCTGGCTGCCCTAGGCTCCTTCTCTATTCTAAGGTCAGGGCAGTGTGCTGAGGCTACTGAGAGTGACCAGACCAGGAGGGATCCCACCAACAGCGCACAACAACCACAACCACAGCCACAGAGCTGCACCCAGGATAGGCTCAAACTCTTCCTCCTGCCTCAGTCTCCCAAGTAGCTGAGATTCCAGGTGTGACCACAGGCCAAGCTGGTTTAGAGTTTAAAAAGCCAGCCCTGAGTCATCCCTACCAGACTCAAAGTCAGGCTAATCTGTGACAAAGCCAGCGGCCTGGGGCACTGTGTGTAGCTATTCAAATCACATCCTGGTCCTCCCAGCAAGGACCCCACTGCCCTCTGAAGCACTGGTGGATCTGCGGACCTGGGAAGCAGGGGCAGCTCAGGCTCGGCACAGACCCGGGCCCTGGCTGAGAACAGACAGGACCTGGAGGTGCAAGAGAGACCCCTGCCTGCCCCTAGTTCCCCTCTGGGACCTTCTGAGGGAGAACACAGGCACAGAGGGGAGACACGGGAAACCAATGCAGGTCTTCAGGACAGAAGGAAATGCTAATACAGCCATCAGCAAGTCACAGACCCGCCCAGCCTACAGGGGGTGCTGCAGGGCACCCGACCCCACCCTTGCTCAGTGGCTGGACTGCCATACCTGGACCCTCGCAGAGCTGGCCAGGTGGTCGGCTGAGGCCCAGGGCCATGGGCTGGGCATCCTGGCTCTTTGCAGGGTCGCTCAGCTGGCCCTGCCCCGGGCCCAGGTCAGGAGGGCTGTCCCCGTCATCAATCACCACGGGGTCCTCACAGTGCTTGCGCTGCAGCCCCACAGAGAGAGCAGGTCAGATACATGGGGATCCCAGCCAAGGCCGGGCCTGTGACCACCCAGCTCTTCCTGGGCCTTGGACAGGGTTACCCAAGGGACCACACTTCACACCCAAATTACAGCCTCTAGGGAGTGGGACTTGCTCTCCTAAGAAACCAAGCTCTAGTCTGGGCATAATCAAAGTTAGGTGGCTCAGGCACAGGCCATGGGAGGGACCACAGGGGAAGGGGGCAGCTGTCCCTTCCCGGCCTCCCTCTCTGTGCTCTCTCACCCACTGCCATGGTCTCCCAGGCTCCCGCTCCAGTGCCTCCACAGCGGCCACGGCCTGCTCGCCACTCTCAGGCTCCTGGGCACGCACCCAGGCCTGCACCTCGCGCGGCAGGATGGCCAGGAACTGCTCCAGCACCAGCAGCTCCAGGATCTGCTCCTTGGTGTGGCGCTCCAGCCGCAGCCCTCTCTGTGCTCTCTCACCCACTGCCATGGTCTCCCAGGCTCCCGCTCCAGTGCCTCCACAGCGGCCACGGCCTGCTCGCCACTCTCAGGCTCCTGGGCACGCACCCAGGCCTGCACCTCGCGCGGCAGGATGGCCAGGAACTGCTCCAGCACCAGCAGCTCCAGGATCTGCTCCTTGGTGTGGCGCTCCAGCCGCAGCCCGCAGCACCTCATCTTCCGGGGCTCCTCACTCTCCTGGGGAGCCAGCACACGGGGGCACAGGGCTGTGGGCATGATGGGGTTTGATGGGGGTCAGCGGCAGGAGACGACCCTATTTCCAAACAGAAATCGCTGGCTTCAACACTGTGCACTCCTGCAGGTGCTTCTGGGGTGGTGACAGGGTGACATCCCTGAGGCGGGGACAAGCCAGGGTGTGGTGTGGGTCCCTCCACACGTGGGGACAGGGATGCCCTGCCAGCCCTTCCCTGGGGTCACTGCTGCAGCCTCCCCTGGGCTGTGGAGGTCGGCAGGGAATCGGGGTGGTGGACCCCACATGCAGGGAGAGGGGCGGCTGAGGCTCAGTGGTACCTTCGGAGCCAGGGCCTGGGAGACCTGACGTGAGCAGATGCGCCGAGCAAGCCACTGTCCTGCCGCTTTGGTGCTGCTGTCCCGTCCCGGCTCTGGAAACCGTTACAAAATTAGCTGGAAGAGCAAGGACAAGAGCATGGGAGAGTCGTACAGAACATGGGAGCCTGAAGACACTCTGCTGGTGCTGCCCGATGGGGGCCGTCTCCACAGGCAGCTACACCCAGGTTACCAGGCAGAAACCAACCACACTGGTTAAAAACACCAGTACTTCCAGAGAAGCCTCCTTCCCAAACTGGTTGCATCTCTGAGAAAATAAATCCTTATCACACCTTTATATATTTGCAGTACTGGTGATTGAGCTACAAACCTAGACGCAGAAATTATTTTCAAGAGAAGGTCTTGCCAGGTCACTAAACTGCCCGGGCTGGGCTCAAACTGGCAATCTTCCTGCCTCAGCCTCCCAGAGGGACAGAAGTGTGCCAACACACCTGGTTCTTTATCAGGTTTAAAAATAACCTTGACCTTCAACCTGGTCTCCAGCGACCACATTTCGCAGTCCCGCCCTGTCTAAAAAGGGACTCTCGGGACCCCGGACACCACAGGCCCATGTCTCAGCAGCTAGGCAGACGTCCAGCAACACCACGGGGCAGCAGCAGAGCCGTGGCGCTCAGCAATCCACACCTGGGACACGGGGACTTCAAGGGCTGCGGGGCCTCGGTTCCCCTGCGCTTCAGGCTGGGCGCTGGCCCCGACTTATCTGGACGGCTCCCGCCCGCGGCGTGGGGACCGGACG